GGGAAATAAAAGGCAGATGGTGAGTGCACACTTAGCCCAGAGCATTAATGGGGGAGCAGCAACTGAGTTCAGAGGTCACCAGTGAAAGACCCCCTGCGAGGAAAGAGAATCTTGGGAAGAAGAGAATTGGAGGCACAGTTCCAGCTGCCTCCTCCCATGGCCAACCTTGGGAAATTTGGGTTTGATTTTTGTTATGAGAGCTGTTCGATTTCCTTATGGGAAGTCAGTGAAAGTGATTTTAGTCCATAACCCACCAGTACTTGTTCTGAGCAGAGGATATAATGGTCAAAGGTCTGGAGGTGTCGAACAGCATGGGCCATGGATGGTGGGGTCCAGAGGCAAAGACGTTGTGGGAGGGGCCCTCTGAGCAGAGTACGGAGGGAACTTTGAATCGGGATTTGGGGAGTTGGGGCCTTGTCCCATGGGCAATGTGGGAGAGGAGCCCTTGAAACAGGGATTGTGGAAGAGGGGGCCCTAAGGCAGAGATATTGTGAGAGATGGGGAGAGCCCTAAGACAAGAGGATGGTGGGAGATGGGGTCCCTCATGGAGGGGACCTATAGCAGGTGGGCTTGAACTAGGGGGATGGTGGGAGATGAAGGGGTGCCTGAGAAGACTGTGAGAGATGGGCCCTGATCCTGTGGTCCCTCCAGCCCAAGGCCTGCTTCTTGCCTCTTGGTTCTCCAGAGGAAGAAGAGCTGGGAGGGTAAAAAGACCCTAACATAGACAATCAGAAACCTGGGTTATATCCTTGTTGTGTGTCCTCAAGGAAGTCCCTGCCCTCTCTGGGCCTCTGATTGCCCACCTGTCTATGGGAGCATTGCTTACCCTGTACGCTATGAATAAAGTAGTTTCTGCAGCCTCCCTAGAAGAGGTCCAGGCTCACATAACCCCTACCAGGACCAGGCTCTGTCCTGGCATCATGAGCAGTGCCTGGCACACATGGCCCTACCCTCTGACTAACTCCCTCCTCAGGTTCAGGCATTCCTCCTTCATCCGTTGTCTTGTGCAGTGGACATGTGCACACACTCACCCATACTCGTGAGCTCTCAGCATCCCAGCCCCAGCCCTTCCTCTGACTCTCATCTTTGGGCTGTTTTAACAAGGCTGCCTCGAAGGAAGTGGTGTAGCTGCCCAACCAGAATAGCTAAAATTCAAAAGACCGACAATAGCGAATGTTGGTGAGGAAGTGGAGCAACTGGAACTTTCATGCAGTGTAGAAATGCAGAATGACACAATGGCTTTGGAAAGCGTCTGGCTATTTCTGTTAAACACAGTCCACCCCATGACCAGCAATCCCACTCCTAGGCAGGTACCCAAAAGAGATGCGTACTTTTGTCATTATTAGCATGGTTGTATTCCTAGCAGCACCAATTGTAATAGCCCCCAAAGTGGAAACAACGGAAATGTCCATCAGCAGGAGAATGGATGAAGAAATTATGTTATAGCCACACAGTGGAATACTACACAGCAATGAAAATGAGTGGGCTACTGATACATGTGACAATGTGGATGTCTCTCACAAACACGATGTTGAGAACAAGAAGTCAGACACATGAGACAACATGCTGTAAGTTTTCATTTATACAAAGTCCAAGAACAGGCACAACTAAAGGATGGTGACAGACATCAGATCAGCAGTTGCTTTTGGAGGGGGTGCTGAATAGAAAAGGGCACAAGGGAACTTTCTGGGTGGATGGAAATGTTCTATATTGATCGGGGTGGTGATTACACGACTGTGCCTTTAAGATTTGTGCACTTCATGGTATGAAAGTTTATCTCAATAAAAAGAGAACATAGCACAGTGACTTAGAACTTGGACAAATCTCAGATTTGTCACATCTCAGCTGTGTGAATTTGAGCAAGTTGCCTTCCCTCTCTGTGCATCACGCCTGTGAGGATTAAATGAGCTGATACACACAGAGTGCTTAGAAGAGGGTAGAGCACAGAGTGGACGTTCAATCACTACCATCATCAGCATCATGGTCATCACTGTCATTGCCTCCCCGAGCTCCTACTCCAATAGGAGAGCATCACTGAGTCTGAGTCACTTCCTCTCCCCTGTGCTGATCCCATAATCCCATCACCTGGTGAATTCAAGCTGCTCTCACTCTTAACTAACTTTCCTTTGGTCTAAAACTCCATGATTTGATTACTCCAAGACTTCCAAGCTGGTACCGTGAAATTTCTGGTTGCATAAATCCTCCAGCCACGTGTGCCAGCACAGGGACACCATCCCGCCCACACCTCCGGTCCAGAAAGCAAGCACGACACACACACCGCTTCTCTCTCCCCACTGATATATTTGATAATTGTCCAGAACCAGTGATGGCATTAGCCAGGGTTGGGGGAGGTTGACAGGGAGTAAAAAAGAGCCCAGGGAGGGGGCTGGGAGGTAGGGGTGAGGAGAGGGAGAGGAGCAGAGTCACAGAAAAGAGAGGAGAAAGGCAGAGGCAGGGGGCAGGGAGAGAAGCCAGCCAGGAGAGGAGAGAGGGAGGGGACAGGAAATACTTTGAGGGGGTGGGGCCAAGGTGGGGGGCCCTGGGGAGAGAGGGCCCCTCCCCCAGAATACAAAATGAGGGGCCTGGAGGGAGCTGTCCTGGGCTTCGGGGGCAAGGGAAGAGACGGGCGAGGTCGTGGGGTTGAGGTCAGTAATAGGTTTCCTTCTCCACCCAACCTGGAGAGACAAAGGAGAGAAGCAGAAGGACAGAGAGAAAGACACAGGAAGAAACCACAAAGGACAGGGACAGGTGGAAAGACAAAGCGGAGGCCCAGAGAGACAGGAAGAGAGAAAAGAGTTGGAAAGGGAAGGGAGAAATGACACAAAAGGGACATGGAGAGACAGAGAGAGGTTAGCATCAGGCAAGTCACCACAGTGCTTCCCCACCCCCCAGCCTGTCTCCCCAGCTTTCCCTCTGTCCCCTTAGCCCTCTCACCCCCGGGGTTCCTGCGCAGGATGAGTTTGCGGATTTCATCATAGACGAAGATGAGGAAGCTGTAGGGGAAGGCACAGAACCACCAGCTGGGCCTGCAGAGACGGGAGAGCAGGAGGGCATCAGTGTGGGGCCACGAAGGGAACACGAGGCAGAGTCCCAGGGGACAGGAGAGGCTATGTGGGTAGGGGTTAGGGGGGCGGGTTCCTCCCTTGATCCCTCCTGCCTACTGGCAAGGGGTGCCCTGGCTGTGACTGCCGGCTAAGGTCTGCAGAGTGCCCACTGTGAGGATGTCCCACGGTAGGGGAGGCTCGGTGGCATCAGAACAGAGGCTGCAGTGGGGGACACAGAGGCGGTATCCCTAGAGACACCAGGAGAGGTGGGGCCTGTGAGGATGTCCCACAGGGAAGGCTCCTGGAGCTGGTGGTGGGGGTCCTGGAGGTGGCGAGGGACACTCACTTGAGAGGGTACATGCGAAGGGCCACGTCCATGCCAGGGCAGTAGGACAGGAAGGCGGCGAGGGCTGTCTCCTCAAATAACCCAAAGATCAGGATCTTGTTCCTGGAGGCATAGGCAGGGCTGGAGCCAGAGAACCCGACCGGCACCCCCACTCAGAGAGACAGACGCACACCCAAAGGAAGACGGAGAGACAGACAACTGAGATACATGGAGACACAAAGAGGCAGAGAGGCAAAGACAGATCCAGCAAGATGGCGACACTGAAAGGATAAAGAGAAAGACAGAGACAGCGACAGACACACAGGCAGGCAAGGGCGTAGACAGGGAAAGCAGCTCTGGAGAGGGACCCAGTGAGTGACACCACAAACGCAGGAGGGAGAGCGGGGAGAGTGATAGCGACGAATACAGCTCTGACGAATACAGCTCTGACCGCTGGAGAGAATATCAACCCAGAGACAAAAGCCGAAAAATGGAACCCAAGGGGCAGGGCAGACGGGGCTCTCACTTCATGCCCTGCTGGAAGACCGAGTTTCTGCGTGTCTTGCAGATGATCAGGTCGGCCCACTGGACAACCACAATGCTCACGAAGAAGGCCGTGTGACATGTGAACTCCACCACTTTCCTCTGCTCGTACGTCTGCAAGAACCATGACCAGCGTGCAGGACGACAGTCAGTGTGGCCTCAGCCCAGCCCCAGCCCAGCCCAGCCCAGCCCCCAGGCTCCTTGTCGGCACCCCAGGCAAAACGGGGGCTCTTCCCGATGGGGTCCCCCAGGGCTTCAGAAATGTCTCCCCTCTTAGGCTTATGGTCCACAGGGAAAAGCCAGGAGATGTACAAGGAAGGAGAGAGGTTAATGGTAACCTCAGTTGTCAACCGTGACCAGGGACCATCCCTGGGGTGGAGGGGAGTGGGAGGAGGTCGAGGACCCTGTGGGCCTCCCTAGGGGACAAACACCAGAGAACTTTGAAGGGCAGAGAGAGACAGGGAAGAAGGCAGTGAAGGTTTCTCACCTGGTGGGGCAGAGAACATGGCCAGTGGACACCAGGCCCACCACACACTGGGCCAAGAGTGCCAAGAGGCCCTGAGTGGCCAGTGAGGGTATTGACATGGCCCTGGGGCAGCGGGGCCATTGTAGGAAGCAGGATAGCTTGCCTGGGGCCCCTACTGTGGACAGGGATGGTGACTGGGAGCCCCTACCATGCTGTGAGGCCCAGCCCCACTCACCCACTGCTGCCCATAACTGTCCTCAAGGTCATTGACGGTGCGGTCATCCCAGTTCAGCCGGATACCCACCAAGTTGCTGGGCAAGAAACCATTTTCTGCCAGGATCACAAAGTAGGAGAAGAAGCCACCTAGAGCCTGGATCATTCCTGGGAGGAGAAGAGAAGGGAGATGAGGAGAGGCTTGGGNTAGCTAAAATTCAAAAGACTGACAATAGCGAATGTTGGCGAGGAAGTAGAACAACTGGAACTTTCATGCAGTGTAAGAATGCAGAATGACACAATGGCTTTGGAAAGCGTCTGGCTATTTCTGTTAAACACAGTCCACCCCATGACCAGCAATCCCACTCCTAGGCAGGTACCCAAAAGAGATGCGTACTTTTGTCATTATTAGCATGGTTGTATTCCTAGCAGCACCAATTGTAATAGCCCCCAAAGTGGAAACAACGGAAATGTCCATCAGCAGGAGAATGGATGAAGAAATTATGTTATAGCCACACAGTGGAATACTACACAGCAATGAAAATGAGTGGGCTACTGATACATGTGACAATGTGGATGTCTCTCACAAACACGATGTTGAGAACAAGAAGTCAGACACATGAGACAACATGCTGTAAGTTTTCATTTATACAAAGTCCAAGAACAGGCACAACTAAAGGATGGTGACAGACATCAGATCAGCAGTTGCTTTTGGAGGGGGTGCTGAATAGAAAAGGGCACAAGGGAACTTTCTGGGTGGATGGAAATGTTCTATATTGATCGGGGTGGTGATTACACGACTGTGCCTTTAAGATTTGTGCACTTCATGGTATGAAAGTTTATCTCAATAAAAAGAGAACATAGCACAGTGACTTAGAACTTGGACAAATCTCAGATTTGTCACATCTCAGCTGTGTGAATTTGAGCAAGTTGCCTTCCCTCTCTGTGCATCACGCCTGTGAGGATTAAATGAGCTGATACACACAGAGTGCTTAGAAGAGGGTAGAGCACAGAGTGGACGTTCAATCACTACCATCATCAGCATCATGGTCATCACTGTCATTGCCTCCCCGAGCTCCTACTCCAATAGGAGAGCATCACTGAGTCTGAGTCACTTCCTCTCCCCTGTGCTGATCCCATAATCCCATCACCTGGTGAATTCAAGCTGCTCTCACTCTTAACTAACTTTCCTTTGGTCTAAAACTCCATGATTTGATTACTCCAAGACTTCCAAGCTGGTACCGTGAAATTTCTGGTTGCATAAATCCTCCAGCCACGTGTGCCAGCACAGGGACACCATCCCGCCCACACCTCCGGTCCAGAAAGCAAGCACGACACACACACCGCTTCTCTCTCCCCACTGATATATTTGATAATTGTCCAGAACCAGTGATGGCATTAGCCAGGGTTGGGGGAGGTTGACAGGGAGTAAAAAAGAGCCCAGGGAGGGGGCTGGGAGGTAGGGGTGAGGAGAGGGAGAGGAGCAGAGTCACAGAAAAGAGAGGAGAAAGGCAGAGGCAGGGGGCAGGGAGAGAAGCCAGCCAGGAGAGGAGAGAGGGAGGAGACAGGAAATACTTTGAGGGGGTGGGGCCAAGGTGGGGGGCCCTGGGGAGAGAGGGCCCCTCCCCCAGAATACAAAATGAGGGGCCTGGAGGGAGCTGTCCTGGGCTTCGGGGGCAAGGGAAGAGACGGGCGAGGTCGTGGGGTTGAGGTCAGTAATAGGTTTCCTTCTCCACCCAACCTGGAGAGACAAAGGAGAGAAGCAGAAGGACAGAGAGAAAGACACAGGAAGAAACCACAAAGGACAGGGACAGGTGGAAAGACAAAGCGGAGGCCCAGAGAGACAGGAAGAGAGAAAAGAGTTGGAAAGGGAAGGGAGAAATGACACAAAAGGGACATGGAGAGACAGAGAGAGGTTAGCATCAGGCAAGTCACCACAGTGCTTCCCCACCCCCCAGCCTGTCTCCCCAGCTTTCCCTCTGTCCCCTTAGCCCTCTCACCCCCGGGGTTCCTGCGCAGGATGAGTTTGCGGATTTCATCATAGACGAAGATGAGGAAGCTGTAGGGGAAGGCACAGAACCACCAGCTGGGCCTGCAGAGACGGGAGAGCAGGAGGGCATCAGTGTGGGGCCACGAAGGGAACACGAGGCAGAGTCCCAGGGGACAGGAGAGGCTATGTGGGTAGGGGTTAGGGGGGCGGGTTCCTCCCTTGATCCCTCCTGCCTACAGGCAAGGGGTGCCCTGGCTGTGACTGCCGGCTAAGGTCTGCAGAGTGCCCACTGTGAGGATGTCCCACGGTAGGGGAGGCTCGGTGGCATCAGAACAGAGGCTGCAGTGGGGGACACAGAGGCGGTATCCCGAGAGACACCAGGAGAGGTGGGGCCTGTGAGGATGTCCCACAGGGAAGGCTCCTGGAGCTGGTGGTGGGGGTCCTGGAGGTGGCGAGGGACACTCACTTGAGAGGGTACATGCGAAGGGCCACGTCCATGCCAGGGCAGTAGGACAGGAAGGCGGCGAGGGCTGTCTCCTCAAATAACCCAAAGATCAGGATCTTGTTCCTGGAGGCATAGGCAGGGCTGGAGCCAGAGAACCCGACCGGCACCCCCACTCAGAGAGACAGACGCACACCCAAAGGAAGACGGAGAGACAGACAACTGAGATACATGGAGACACAAAGAGGCAGAGAGGCAAAGACAGATCCAGCAAGATGGCGACACTGAAAGGATAAAGAGAAAGACAGAGACAGCGACAGACACACAGGCAGGCAAGGGCGTAGACAGGGAAAGCAGCTCTGGAGAGGGACCCAGTGAGTGACACCACAAACGCAGGAGGGAGAGCGGGGAGAGTGATAGCGACGAATACAGCTCTGACGAATACAGCTCTGACCGCTGGAGAGAATATCAACCCAGAGACAAAAGCCGAAAAATGGAACCCAAGGGGCAGGGCAGACGGGGCTCTCACTTCATGCCCTGCTGGAAGACCGAGTTTCTGCGTGTCTTGCAGATGATCAGGTCGGCCCACTGGACAACCACAATGCTCACGAAGAAGGCCGTGTGACATGTGAACTCCACCACTTTCCTCTGCTCGTACGTCTGCAAGAACCATGACCAGCGTGCAGGACGACAGTCAGTGTGGCCTCAGCCCAGCCCCAGCCCAGCCCAGCCCAGCCCCCAGGCTCCTTGTCGGCACCCCAGGCAAAACGGGGGCTCTTCCCGATGGGGTCCCCCAGGGCTTCAGAAATGTCTCCCCTCTTAGGCTTATGGTCCACAGGGAAAAGCCAGGAGATGTACAAGGAAGGAGAGAGGTTAATGGTAACCTCAGTTGTCAACCGTGACCAGGGACCATCCCTGGGGTGGAGGGGAGTGGGAGGAGGTCGAGGACCCTGTGGGCCTCCCTAGGGGACAAACACCAGAGAACTTTGAAGGGCAGAGAGAGACAGGGAAGAAGGCAGTGAAGGTTTCTCACCTGGTGGGGCAGAGAACATGGCCAGTGGACACCAGGCCCACCACACACTGGGCCAAGAGTGCCAAGAGGCCCTGAGTGGCCAGTGAGGGTATTGACATGGCCCTGGGGCAGCGGGGCCATTGTAGGAAGCAGGATAGCTTGTCTGGGGCCCCTACTGTGGACAGGGATGGTGACTGGGAGCCCCTACCATGCTGTGAGGCCCAGCCCCACTCACCCACTGCTGCCCATAACTGTCCTCAAGGTCATTGACGGTGCGGTCATCCCAGTTCAGCCGGATACCCACCAAGTTGCTGGGCAAGAAACCATTTTCTGCCAGGATCACAAAGTAGGAGAAGAAGCCACCTAGAGCCTGGATCATTCCTGGGAGGAGAAGAGAAGGGAGATGAGGAGAGGCTTGGGTGGGGGCCGGCAGCCAGCCTAGTGCATGTCTGGGACCCCTTGAAGCCCCCACAAGGAGTCCTTTTTTCTGAGCATCATCCGGGGCTGGGCTTCCAGAAGGCAACCTGAGGGTGTTACTTGGTGGCGAGCACCTGAGCTGGGTCTCTGGGACAGGAACCTCCAGGAGGGGGCTCTCCCCAGAAGGATAACCCTGTGGCTATCCTCCCACCTGACCCAGGCCACCTGAACATCAGGAAATCCCCGAGGACCCTAGGCTTGAATCTGACAGGCCCCCTGTGCAGGAATGACCTCTAAGGCCTCTGACCGCCGCCATGAAGTGTTGGTTTGCTGGGACACTCCCAGTGACGTGAGCTCAGCCCCTCTAATGCTCTGAACACATCAACTCTAGCAGCAGGTTGAGGAGGGGGCAGAGAGGGTGAGCTCACTCCTGTCCTCAGAGAGCTCACAGGTTGGTCTTGTCTTTCCCATCATGGAGGCGGGGGGAGCAGTGGGCTCTAAGAGTGGGCAGCCTGGGCCAACTGTGACCTGCCACTTGGTGTACCATATGCTTCCTGGGTGTACCCCCCTCCAGGCCTGGCCTCCACCTGTGCCGGCCCCTCCGTGGTGACCACCACCAATCTGCAAATCATTCCTTCTAAATCTCCAGCACCAAGTTCGACTTCTACTCCACTCACTCAGCACAAGGTTTCTGAGTGCCCACAGTGGGCCAGGCACTGCTCTAGGCCCTGGGCATCCAGCTGTAATCGTAAGGGGTCCCCAGGTCCTCACCAATCTGCCCATATGCCATGCTGATGAGCCTCTCATTGACCAGTTTGTCAGTGCGTGGGTTCCTGGGCTGTCTCTTCATAATGTCACTCTCGGCAGCCTCATATGCCAAGGAGATGGCGGGGACCTGGGCAGGAGAGGTCAGGTGAGCTGGGGATAGGGGGACCCTGCCCTCCCGGGGCCTGGGGGTTGGCTGGGGCTCACCATGTCGGTGCCCAGGTCAATGCAGAGGATGGTGATAGTGCCCAGAGGCAGTGGGATGTTGGCCATGATGAACAGCAGGAAGGGTGTGATCTCGGGGATGTTGCTGGTCAGGGTGTAGGCGATGGACTTTTTCAGGTTGTCGAAGATCAGGCGGCCTGTGGCATGGGCAGGCTCAGACCTCACGTGCCCGCACCAGGGCACCCTATTTCCTCTGCCCCTTCCCTGCCCCGTGCACGTGTCCTTTCTAATCCATCCCCTCACCCTCCTTCCTTTCCACACGAATGTCCAACCACGTCACTCTGTTCATCCATTCTTGAAATACAACCACTTTGGAAGCCTGTTTGGCAGTTTCTGTTA